CAATAATCGTTGCCATGGATTTTAAGCTGCGCTTAAGCTAAGCTCCACTTAAATTTGTCGTGCAAACGGCCATTAATCGTAAACCTTGACTAACTGGCTGTGTCTCTGCATACATTATAATATGATATCCAACAGGAGTGAAAGTGAGCCGGACGGATCTTACAGCTGTTTTGCTATAGAGGTTATTCAGTGCCCTAACCTATAAATTCACATATTTTCTGTGAAATAAAACATGGAATTGTTCGAGGATTTTCTGGTTATTAATAGCAGTATCCATAATGCAAAAACGAAACAAAATACAAAACTGACAAATGACAGTTCAATTCTTGTCTGTGATTGGTTAGCGCATAAAGTTTGTCCACGATTCGGGAATGAACTTATCCCTATCGTATACGATCATGACGTCATGGCAGCCGGTCACATCACATGCACATCACGGAGCATATCGACTAACTTCGGGAATCGATGCCCAGGATCTCGAGAACGCTCCCGAACGCAGATTTTCAAGAATACAGGTGAACGCATAAACGAACCCACCTTTTTTTACGTGTCTTTCGCATGCGCAGTGTATGATTACATTTTAGACATACGTAATGAATGATTATACGTGGCGTATTGTAACAAACCCAACAGATTCTGTTAGTACTAGGTAATGTCTGATTATCCTGGGATTTCGTTTTGCATTCTGTAATACCATACTAGATATTTAATTAACCAAAACATTTTAACATTTATTTATAACATTGTTGTCAGATATGGACGGAAATGATGTGCCACTCATTAAAATCGAACCAAAACAAGAAGAAGAAATCTGTTCCTTTCTTCAGGGACACATTTCAGTAAGTAACGAAGTTTTAGCCACAATAAAGGAGGAAGTTACCATTACTCCACCATGTTTTAAATCTGATAATGAAGAAGAACAAAAACACCCTGCCCTTCAACATTTAACTCGGTGTAAAACAGTGTCTAAAGATTTTAAATGTGATGATTGTGATTATGAGACAAATTATAAAAGCAACTTTAAAACACATCTTTTAACACATAAAGTTTCTAAAGATTTTAAGTGTGCCACGTGTGATTATGAGACGAATAATAAATACCTCTTCAGACAACATCTTTTAATACATAAAGTTTCGAAGGATTTTAAATGTGCTGATTGTGATTATGGGACAAATGTTAAACGCAACTTCAAACAACATCTTTTGACACATAAAGTTTGTAAAGATTTTAAATGTGCTAATTGTGATTATGAAACAAATTATAAAAACAACTTTAAAACACATCTTTTAACACATAAAGTTTCTAAGGATCTGCAATGTGCTACTTGTGGTTATGGGACAAATGTTAAACGCAACTTCAAACAACATCTTTTAACACACAAAGTTTTTAAGGAGTTTAAATGTGCTACCTGTCATTATGAGACAAACAATAAACTCATCTTTAAACGACATCTTGTAATACATAAAGTTTCTAAAGATTTTAAATGTGCTGATTGTGATTATGAAACAAATTATAAAAGCAACCTTAAAACACATCTTTTAGTACATAAGGTTTCTAAGGATTTGCAATGTGGTACTTGTGATTATAAGACAAATAATAAACAACACTTTAAACGACATCTCTTAAAACATACAGTTTCTTAATTTTAAAATGTGCTTCTTGTGAACTTAAAACAACAGCTTTTAACACAGAGTTTTAAGTATTTTTAGCTAGCCAAAATGTACAAAATATAGAGGTTATGTTGACGCTCCATCCGCTTGATGCCGTCGTTATTAATTTGCTCCCGTGATTACGTGACCTTTTGCACCGTACAATATCGAACGCACCTATTACAAACCTCGTACACCACAATCCCTTCCCTTCCCTTGACCATATGTGAGCTAAACTCAGTATCTAATTCAATGTGGCGCCGCTCACAGGTAGGTACGCCGGACCTCGGTTGCTGTTGCATCCACGCTAAAGTTGAATGTTCGAGAATCCTTTTGTGCCTTAGCCCTAGAAGACAAACACCAAAGGAAAGACTAGTTCCTTTCACTAGCAGGTAGAAAAAATAGATAAACAGCTGGTGACGGCGGTGACTAACGTCCATTGATTCTCCCACTACTTGACTGGTTGCATTTGACAACGAAATATACTGGCAATTTGAAGATAAATGGACATTTCGCTACGGCACCTTAACAGAATATTATCGTAGCTAATGTCGACGATACAATAATAAGTTCGGAAACATCCTCCTTGCATCGACGATGGTTCGAAGATTAAATAATGGAAATGTAGATTTGGAACATTCCGTCGGATAAATTTTCTTCTATTAAACACAACCCACGAATGTGGAGCGCTTATAATCTCACTTTTGCGTCCGTCCTTCCGCGCTATAGCTCAGTTCCTAAAACTCATTTCGACTTCGAGTTGTCGCACTTTTCACCTTATTGATTTTCTAAAGTGTTAGACTTTCGCAAAAATGTATACCGATGGCTGGCTCATGATTATTATTATTTAGTGCGATTAGCTTCGAGGAAAGTGGACCTTTTCTTATTTCTGCTCCCAACCACTTAACTGCAAACAACAAACAAACGTTGATGACAAAACAATGATACTGCAGAGACTTTACTGTTAATTGTGATATCTTTTGTTTCATCATGGCACACTATGGGTCTGGAAATGAACGTTTTTCTACAAATTGGAGTTCCCCCTTGTTTTTTCTCTTAAGTTTTGTATGAAATGTGTTTTTTTAATATCAGTACAAATATTGTGGGTTCGGCTATCCCTACCTACAGTTTGCTTAGGCGGGTGCAAAAGTCAATCAAACATTTTCCTTTTGTATGTTTCTTTTTATTTAAAATCAATACATTGGATGCATTATTTATATACATTGTTGGAAAATATTCCCACAACGTTTAAAAGTAATATTTATGCAAGTTCCTGCTTTTGCTTAAATAATCGCTTTGTACTTTGTTTATTTAATTGCAAACCGTTAGGTTTATTCTTTTGTAAAAATGTTATCTCCGGTCGTGACGATAAGAAATCTGCGAAGCCTAATTGAATCGCAAGAGAAGGACGTGTTATCAGACACTAATAATAATATCGTAATTTCTCTAATTATGCAAGTACGCAATCAAAACTACTAATTTTGATTACCTAAGGGTTGAAAACACATTGATTGAAGTCTCGGATAGGATTAGAATTGATACAAATCATGCTATTTTGTGACTTACGGGACAACACATTTAGTATTCACGCAGTTTAATGTAAACTAGACACTAATAATCACACGTTTGGCCCTGGAGGATGTCGTCTTCTGACGTGTCGCTTGAGACTCGATTTAATGTGCGTTTCAAAATCACAACGGTCACATTTGAAATCCTTAACGACATTATGTATTAAAATGTGTTGTTTCCAAAGCTTTTTCTTGTTTGTCCCATAGTCACAAACGTTACATTTAAAATCTTGCGTGACTTTGTGCGTTAAAAGATGTTCCTTAAAGGTTTGTTTAATTCTTGTTGAGTAAACGCAATAGTCACATTTAAATTCCGTATTAATTTTATGCCTCGAGACGTGTTGGTTGAAATAACTTTTAACGTTTGTTACAAAATCACAACTGTCACATTTAAAAACCTTGGAGACGTCGTGAATTAAAAGATGTCTTTTAAAGTGGGACTTAATATTTGTTGCGTAAACACACGTGTCACATTTAAAATCTTTAGAAATGTTGTGTATTAGAATGTGTTCTTTGTAATTGCGTTTCTTATTTGTGGCATAAGCGCAACGGTCACATTTATAATCTTTCGAAACTTTGTGTTTTAAAAGGTGCTCTATCAGATTGTATTTATTATTTGTGGCATAATCGCAGTGGGCACATCGAAAATCTTTAACAACTTTGTGGGTTAACAGATGCCGTTTCAGATGTTTCTTATTGTGTGTTTCATAATCACAAATGTCGCATTTAAAATCTTTAGATTTACTGTGCCTTAAGAGATGCTGTTTTAAAGAGCTTTTAATACTAGTTTCAAAACCACAAAAATCACATTTAAAATCTTTAGAATCCGTGTGTTTTAAAATGTGCTCTTTAAAATAGTACTTATCACTTGTTGCATACGAACAACTGTCACATTTAAATTCTTTAAAAGACGTATGTTTTAAAAGATGCCGTTTAAAACAGGACATAATATTAGTTTCATAAGCACAATTTGCACATTTGTAATCTTTAATAAAGTTGTGTGTTAAGATATGGAGGTTCATTTGACGTTTATAGTTCGTTGCATACTCACAACTCTCACATTTAAACTGCTTCGAGACATTGTGCCGTAAAAGATGTTTCTTGAAATTATATTTATCACTGGTTTCATAAAAACATTTGTCACATTTGAAATCTTTAGAACCGTTGTGTATAAGAAGGTGTTGCTTGAAGTGAGATTTATCGTTTGTTGCATAAGCACAATTGCCGCAAATAAAGCTTTTGGCAATATTTCTATGCGTTAGGAGGTGCCGTCTTAATTGTCGCTTGCTATTCGTTGCATATTCACAATTGTTACATTTAAAATCGTTAAATTTACAGTTGTGTCTTAAAAGGTGTTCTTTAAGGTAATATTTGTTACTTGTCGCGTAACCACAAACATCGCATTTAAAGTCTTTGGAAGAACTGTGAACTAAGAGGTGGGTTTTAAAATGGAACTTATTATTTGTGGAATAATTGCAATTGTCACATTCAAAATTTTTCACGACGTTATGTGTTAATACATGTATTTTTAATTGACGTTTATTATTTGTGGCATACTCACAATTGTTACATTTAAAATCTTTGGATTTATGCACCGTGAGATGTTGGTTTAAATAGCTTTTAACGTTTGTTGTGAACGTACAACTGTGACATTTAAAGTTTTTAGAGACATCGTGAATTAAAACATGTCGTTTAAAATTGGTTTTTTTATCCGTTGCATAAGCACAATTCGGACATCTGAAATCTTCTGAACTTAGAGGTTTGACATCTGTAGCATACTCACGCGATTGTTCTTCGTATTTAAGACGTTCTACAGTTATCTCCTGGTCTTCCTTTATTGCTTCCGTGACTATGTTGCTTACGTAAATGTTTCTTGAAATGGATGAATTGATGTCCTCCTCTTGCTTCACTTCGACTTTAATTATTGCAGAACTGTCCTCAAAGGACATTGTTAAACTATCGGCAAAGACAATTAGGTCTTGTTCATTCGAAGTTTGTAAACAAAAGAAGGTGAAACCAAAATGTTGGGTTATGTAATAAACTGTGGATCCTCAAGGTGTTTCTTTTGGTGATAAATAAGTGCCACGCTCTGTTAAACTTGGCACTTTAAAATCTGAGGCAATTAACTACAACCCCGGCAATAAACGCTTCAAACTTTCCTATGCTAAATTTACAAAGAAGGGTGTCTACTGCACAGTGAGTAATAATATAATAATAATAGCCACATTCTTTTGTTTATCGAATTGTACAATGCATGGACGAATACAATTTTATCAGCAGTTTGTGTTTGTTGGTTGCGGGGGGGGGGGACTGACCCCCTACCATGATGAACAAGGTTGGTAAGGGTGGGTTGGTTGTTGACTTTCTTGTTCCATTCATATTTAATTTTTGTTAATATTCTATGTTTGATTTTAATAAAATACAACCAAAGTATTTTAGTCGTTCAGCAGGTGGGTCCATAGACGAGATGTGCACAGAAATAACCGAGTTCCAAACGGCTATGGCTGAACTGAAGCTGGAGATCAGAAATGCTACAAGGAGCTGTGCCCAGACGCGGACACGAATCCCGTAACGTATAATAATGGCGAAGGTGATTGGTTGAACGATGCTAAATCCCGAAAAGCGGTAGGCCGTATACTGGCACGTTTGGCATCTTGTCTTAAATGGCGGTCGTGAATGCGTCGCTCCATAAATGTTTGTTATTTTTTTTAATTAAAGCAGGTAGTAATATGTATCGTATTTGTATGCAGTATTTTATACTTTTTGTGAGTTTCGATCTTTGTTTTTGAATTTGACTTGATTTTATCTTATTGCAGAATCAGATATTTGATACCGTTATCCTTTTGTTGTAATCGTTTACTGTTTTTGGTGTACTGATCTTAACCCACCCCAGGCTCGAAGTGAAGATGGCAGATTTCACGGCAAAGTGGCAACGTTGCAATCCCAGTCTCAAAACACGGTTCCCGCTCAAATTTCAAACAAAGGAATGGCACGTGATTGGATCGTCTAAGGTAGGGCCCCCTTTTGAGTATCGTGAGATGCATCGTGTTTGTTATATACTGTACAGATTATTATGCCAATATATTGTATTCACGAGGAGTTGATTATCAGTGAGATGTTGCTCTGTCCGACTGATCCGTAACTATTCCGTGAGGGAAGTACCTACAGTTTGGTTGTTCGCTGTATCTGTTACTTTCTGATTCGTGACGCGCTGCAGTTCTTGTGCGTTAACTATACGAAAGGGGGCTCTCTTATTTGATGTTTCGATGTTTGTGTGTGCGAGTGGTTCATTCTGTCTCCGTGGAGTAGGTACCTAATACAGTTGGAACTTTCGCTGTATCTGTTGCCTACTCGTCTCGTGCGGATTGCAGTTCTTAGCAATGCGAGTAGGGGCCCCTCTTATTAACATTTCCTCTATTTAAAACATGTTCTTTTTGAGCGATAATCGATTTTCACATGAATACTTGCTATTGGCATTCTCACATGTACTTTTCGTGTTAAATTAAATTATATTAACGGAAGGCTGGAGTAGAGCCACACCATTTACATGTTTCCTATGTACATGCAACTTATTTTTTTACGAGTTCATCTCAATTGATCGTACAGGTATTTTGATGTGTTTTTGTACTTAATTTGATTTATCATGTTTTTCACTGCATTTACGATGTTTTGTATATTTTGTTTTTATGAAGTTGTTTAATTGCATTTGATTTGATTATCTGATTTTTCTCATACAATATGAAATGTTTTATTTATGCGTATTTTCTCTTGCATTTTATTACTGTATGTGATTTATTTCATGTATTTGTGTGGCCTATGCCGGGGTTTCAGCCTCGTAGAAGGTTTCCCTGGCATGGTCTTGCTGTGTGCGTTTATATATTTATTTGTTCTTGTCATTTCTTACGCACATAAGTTCTGTCTTTTATTTAATTCCCTTCCCGATTATGTCTCACGTCCCAACACATACAAGAACCGATTATACAACGTAGGAGTCCATTCGTGCCATCCATATCGAGCCGAGATGTCTTACTCGGAGGGGTAGGCACAATGGGCTTCGATGCGCCTAAGTGCTGCCTGGTCGAGCTCCCCTGTCAATAGAATAGAATTGTTTATTTTATGGTCAGAGTAATTAGCCCATGAATGGTAAGGCTGTTTTGAAGCATAATCGACGTAAGGAAATGTCGGCGAGCTGTTGTACGATGGTACGAGTGCACTAGAAATTGGATGATACGTTGTGATCTTTTTTTGTAATTAGAAAATTAAGTTAATTGTGTAATGATCTTAGCTTCCTACTCTCTTGGCAGTCTAAAGCCAACTTCATGTCACGCCGGGATATTTACAAGATCAAACGAACTTACCTTAAGTGATGTTCGATCTTGATTATATGAAGGCCTCGTTGAAGTAAATAAAATTGTAGTACCTCTGCTTTCCGTTAGAAAAACCACACTTTAAAGCGAAACAAGTAGGCTCCGCATGTTTACCCGTTGTCAAGCCAACAACGCCTCAGTCTCTTTGAAAGTAGTTGTTGCATGGAAGTAAATGGGATTTAACAGCATAAATTTGGGTGGGTATGGGACTATTTACTTCAACGAGGCCTTCATATAATCAAGATCGAACATCACTTAAGGTAAGTTCGTTTGATCTTGTAATTATATTCGGCCTCGTTTCGTAAATAAAATTGTAGATGTTTAAAGATTTTGCAACAACTTTATTATAATACACGATGTTTTCGAAGAAAAACAATATCTGATTTTATCTCTAAAATACAGAAAACATTTATAGAACAATTCCAGTAACACAATTTTAAGCTATATTTAATACCGCTCTAGCAAAAACAGTATTGTCCTGCACAGGCCTGTTATAAAATCGTGCAAAGGTATTAGATTTTGATGACCATCCAGCAGCAAGTCTGATGGTATCATAGCTTACTCCGGACCTGGCTGCTTTCGAAGTCGATGCATGCCTCGTGCTTTGCGGTTTAAATTGGGATGTATCTAAACCACAATCTTTTAAGGCTTGACCTATCCATCTACCTATAGTCTGAGTTGAAGCCCGACGATGAGGCTTCTTATTGGTGATAAAGAGAGACATGCATTGACCTCTATCTTCCTTGGTCCTTTTCAGATACTCTAACAATACCCCTGCCACACATAGGTTTGGATCCGTTTTATAAAAGGGCAAAACTAATAATGGTTGCAATTTATTTACACCTGAAGTCTTTATCCTATTAGGGATTCTAATCTCAACCTTGTCATTAAGAACAACAATGTTATCAATATTAATTAAGGACAGAGTTTGAATCCTTTGACCTGTAGCAAGAGCTAATAACAGTACCAGTTTTTTCGTTAAACATGGCAGAGAAAGAGTTTTATTATTGAGAGCCCTTGCATAACCCAAGGCTATGTCCGGGTCCCATACATTTTCATATCTAGGCCTCGGTGGTCTGAGACTAAAAACACCTTTAAAAAATCTCTTTACACGAAAATCAGACGCAATTTCTGGTCCTGCTATTTGTGCAATTGCACTTCTATACGAATTCAAGGAACCAAACGAAACACCTATATTAAATTGACAAGTCAAAAAATCTAGCAAGGCTGGAATAGTGACACAAAACGGATTAACTAACCGTGTATTACAAAATGTCCACCACAGTCTTAATCCACTGTTATATTGCTTAAGCGTCGAAGCTGTAATGGAAGCCAAGCAGATTTCTATTGTGTTTTCCGGTATGTTTTTGAGTTGAAGAGCTTTCCGGATAACTTCCCTACCACCAGGGAAAGGTGTTTTGCCATCGGATGTGGTATCCCGCTAAAAGAAAGTAATCGGTCAGAAGGTTCAAGTATTAACGGTTCTTCCGTTAGTAACGATAAAAACACAGGGTACCACGGCTGAGATACCCAGTAAGGGGCTACAACCACCCCTTCTGCTTGATCTTTAATAATTTTTTGAAGAGTCCTCAGTATTAAAGTAAAGGGAGGGAATGCATAAAAGGAAAAAACGCTCCAATTTAGAGTAAAGGCATCTACCCTGAAAGCTTCTGGATCTCTTTTCCAAGACACGAATGTCTTGCATTTTCTATTCAACCGACTAGCAAATAAATCTATATCTGGGACACCAAATCTTTTCAACACTTTTTGAAAAGCAGAATTTTCTAGAGACCATTCTGTCTCCTGGTGTTCCTGTCGAGAAGCTTTATCCGCAAAAAAATTCTCGCTTGACGATATGTAAGATGCAAAAATGTAAATATTTCGTTCTTCACACCAACCCCAAATGAGTCGAGCAATCTTGTTAAGGTTTTGAAACCTCACACTTCCCATACGATTAATTGTACCAATGGCAGTCGTGTTGTCCACCCGACATAAAATATTGCAATTATGACAACCTCGAGCAAAACATTTTAACCCAAATAAGACTGCTAAGAGCTCGAGTTCATTAATGTGATTTTCTTTCTCTGAATTGGACCAAAAACCAAAAGAGGTGTTACCATTACAGTATGCTCCCCAACCGGTCTTCGATGCATCAGTAAACAATTCTATATCGAAAGTGTCAGAACGAATAGGATTACATGAAACCGCCAGTTTACTGATCCACCAAGAGATATCTGAATGTAAGAAGGAATCTAGAGTCATCTTAGCCTCATAGTTTCCCCCAGAATGCCGTAGAGCTCGATATTTTTTTTGTTCAAACAATTTTGTATATAGGAATCCATATTTTATAGCTGGGGCTGCCGACACCAGAGATCCAATAAATTTTGAGAATTCTCGAATCTTACATTCTTGTACAGTAATGAATTGATTGGCAAGCTTAATCAATTTAAGGCGTTTATCAGATGGTAGGGATAAAGACATTGTTCTGGAATTATACACAAAACCTAAATATTTGCAAGTCTGGTTTGGTATAAGGTTACTTTTCTTGTAATTCACTATAAAACCTAAACATTCAAGTAGTTTTACTGTTTCCGTTACGTTGCTAATACACTCGGATCGTGTTCTCCCTAACAGGAGAAAATCATCTAGATAAACAACGGAAAGTAAACCTTTCTCTCTAAGCAGACTTACAACGGGTTTTAAAATTTTTGTGAATACCCACGGTGCACAGCTCAGCCCGAAAGGTAGACAATTCCATTCGTATAACTTGCCATTGAAGCAAAAACGTAAATATTTTCTATGGCAGGGGTGAATGGGTATTAGATAATAAGCATCTTTTAGATCGACAGTGCACATAAAGATATCTGGCCTAATTAATCGAGCAACAGTAGTGTAACCCTCAATCTTAAAATGATCAACAGTAATAAAATTATTAAGATGTTTTAAATTCAAAATCAATCGATTAGATCCATCTGGCTTAGGTACAAGAAAAATGTTTGATATATATTGACCTTCCCTCGGCTCAACTATACTGATAGCCCTCCTAAGCAACAGATCTTGGATTATATTATTTACAATTTTGGATTCTTTTTGTGACCATTTTGGTTCTACAGGTACACCAAGTTGACTTGGTTTTGTATGAAAGGGAATATAAAATCCCTTGATATAAGACACTATCCTATTGTCAATACATAACGCACTCCATCTAAACGCAAACTGTCTGAGTCTTCCACAAGGACTACTAACCTCTAACGATCCCTCTGTCCTTGTTTGGATTGGAAATGTTTGTAACGTTCCTGCCTCTTCAGGGGAGTGTACGCTGGTGCTCTGGTTTGGGTGTAGGGAGTTCGGTAACTTTGTCTCAATTGTTGCACTCCCTTCTTCTGCAACAACGGACGTTTTGCGTTTCCCTGTTTCGAAGGTAAAGACGGTCCAGAAAATGTACGCTTCTTAGGTACCTTTAATTGATTTGCAGATTTTTCCAAATCTTTTGCGGCTTTTATGCTACTGTCTAATTCACTTCCAAATAACCACTCGGTTATGCAAGTGTTTTTTAAGGTATCCCGTAAATCCTTATTTAAATTGAGTGCGATCAGGTCCCTACGCGATATCGACTCGGTGTGGTAGATGTCACTCAGCAAACGTCCTACATCGTTCAAAACTTCGATGTACGATATGTGTTCTCCGCTTCCTTCCTTAATTAAATTTGTGACAACACAACCAACACCAGAAATCGCAGCACTTAACTGCGATTGAAGTTGACTCAATCGTATGTCTCTCCGAAATGTACCGTCTTGCACCGCAACTTTTACCTCCGGGTTAATTTTTGGAGGTAACAAATCTGGGCAGTTTTTCGGTGGAAGATACTTTTTAATTAAATTTGTTTTTATGTCTTCTGACAACCCTAATTTTAACAATTTTGTCCAGCGAGAAGCCAAGTCCGGATGGATTGAATCGGAAAAACCTTTTTCCATAATGTCATCTTCACCTAACAAAGTTAAAATAGCTGGCGGAAGCACGTCCTCAGACTCGTCTTCACGAAGCTCCTGAATTGTTTCATCTGCAACGCCAGATAAATATAAGCAACAATTCAAAACCCCCGACCTTACACAACCAAAAACTTTAAAAATTTGGAATGGGTATGACCGTATTAAATTATAAAAACCAATATAACAAAGACATAACTGAATTTTCAGTCGGTCTTCTAGGGTAAAGACCCAATTAGTGTTGCTCTAGGCACAAGAACTCTACCACACTAGGTAGGTACCTATGTTAAAAAATTAACAAAGGCGAAATAAAACAGGTTCACCTCACTCGGCGAACTAACTGTACTCACTGACAGTTAAAGGAAGGCAAAAAAAGCCGACCAGTGCCTCACTAGGCACGTTCACCTCACTCGGCGAACTAACTGTACTCACTGACAGTTAAAGGAAGGCAAAAAAGCCGACCAGTGCCTCACTAGGCACGTTCACCTCACTCGGCGAACTAACTGTACTCACTGACAGTTAAAGGAAGGCAAAACAGCCGACCAGTGCCACACAAGGCACGTTCACCTCACTCGGTGAACTAACTGTACTCACTGACAGTTAAAGGAAGGCAATAAAGCCAATAAGTGCCACACTAAGCACGTTCACCTCTCGGCGAACTAACTGTTCTCACTGACAGTTGTAAAAAGAAAACGCATTCCAACTTACTACCATTGTGTGTAAAATTTTCTATCCCGGCTGAGCAGTTCAACAATTCTGTATCTGCTACTTCCTCATTAACACCAGAAGGGCCAGGAGAAGATAAACGTGACAATCCTTCACGTACTCTTGACGGCGAAAAAGGTGACTGGCTACATTCGCTATCAGAAGGATACGGAGACGGTGATTTCCGCCGGCGTCTTCTTTGTTTTCTCTCAACCTTTTCTAGTCGTCGATCAATTTTCTTAAGCAAACTTCCAAAGACGTGCAACGCATCTGGAGAAGGGCTGCGTTTCTTTAAATGTTTCGGCATAATACCAAGTAAAAAGAACGCACTAAAAAACGACGCGTGTAGTTAAACCAACACAAAAACAAAGACTGAGGCGTTGTTGGCTTGACAACGGGTAAACATGCGGAGCCTACTTGTTTCGCTTTAAAGTGTGGTTTTTCTAACGGAAAGCAGAGGTACTACAATTTTATTTACGAAACGAGGCCGAATATAATGGACCATATTCTGTAGTAGCGGGAATGCCGAACTAACATGGCTACCTATTTGAATATTCTTGCTTACATTTCCCGCGAGAATCTGTCACTCGGGGGCCACTCCGAGTGCACTAAGATCGTGATCGTCATGTAGGACACCTACGTTGTGTAATAACTGGGTTCTCAGCAGGCACTGATGGCGTTTTATGGGTAAGGAACACCAAAAGCAATAGCTGATTAAGATTATATTGAAGCTAATACTAATACCAATACGGCGCCCCTGCAGAGGGTCTTAAGTGGTTCTATACTACTCCGGCATTTACCTTACGAATTAGGAAAACTGCAGAAAAACCTAATTCGGAGTAGTCCTATAATGAACAAAGCCTACAGCTAACATCTAATGTACAGCACTTTTGAGCCCTCTCGAAACCGGGGTAAATACTACCTATATACACGCTATGAGTAACCAAAATGGAATCGAGCCATTCCCCAGGTATTACAACACATACATCAGACTAAGAGATATTAAATGTACCTCTCCGGGCGGTAGGATTACCCAGGCCCCGTGGGGTGCCTGTAGACGTGGGCTGAAGTTGTTGGGTTTCGGAACAAGTGTTAGGTTCACCAAGGCCCGTATAAACTTGAATAACTCGATCCCATCTAAACATGCACACTTTCCTCTTGATTACTCACAGCCACAGCCCAAAATAAGCAAATATAATGAAATGCAATGAAATAATCGAGAGTGACTAAAAAGCACAATACACAACTATGTACAGCACAGATACACCCCTACCGACAATGAAATATGATTGCCAATACCAACAAAGGTTACACATTAGAGGTACAAGTGATTGAATCCAGTAAGTACATAAGTAAATGGTTACAATCTGCATTCAACATACACACATTTATAGATTAATTGAATAAAGCAAATACCTCACCTGATATAAAAAGCAAAAGCACACAGCAATGATTAAGGTATAACAAAATATTTCAAGATAAGCCGGACTTTACACTTAAGCCGGTTACAAGAGAAAGACCATGAACACACATGTTAAATCGTATTTATTGACTACCCCAAGCGACTTTGTAACTTGATCTCTTAACACCCCTAAAAACCCCTAAAAACGGTAAACACATGGGGTCTTCCGAGAAATTCCATCCGTCTCATCTTCGCTCTCTTTCCCTTTTCTGTAATCCCACCAGATTTCGGTTGGCAGCTTGTGTAACTAACATGATGTATAAGGTGTTTCGTATCGACAATCATATTTACAGGATGTTGCTAAGGTTGGGGCATCTCAATTGCGTGTTCAAGAGTGAAGACAGCCTCGAGTTCTTAAGAAAAAGGATTGAGAAGTTATATTTTCAAGTCTCAAAAGCGTCATGATAAAGTCAATTCACTTTAAAATTAGTACAATTTCACTTAACAACCCCTTAGAATAACCCTATGTTTACAAAATGCTCCCAACTACAATACCATTTGTAAATTACACCAGCGTCTCTAGTGTTAATCTGATTCGCGAATAATATCACTAAATGTTTGGCTACTGCTGAAAGCTCAGAGAAAGCATATATATAAGAGAGAAATAGGGATCCGGTAACCTCACTTTTTTAATTATTGTCTTATAAGTTACAAAGTCATGTCCGAAGTAAAACAGGTCCTTTTTGTGTGTTTAGGTATTTACGTCCCAACAGAGCTATTTTTAAAAAAGAATTTTAGGTAACATATGCAGATCACCAATAGCCGAAGCGGTGTTTCTACATGTCGTCAAAGAGCGAGGTCTCGATCACAAATGGACCGCCGACAGTGCGGCAACCGGACCTTGGCATATAGGAAGGATGCCGGAGAAGAGGGCGAGAAACACTTTGCAAAAGCACTCGATCGAATACAACGGACGTGCTCGACAGGTCGTCGCTTGTACTAACGTTACCGTCTTGTCCAATGCTCTACTTTCAGCTTCAACGCGACGATTACAATAGGTTTGATTATATTTTCGGCATGGACGAATCGAACATGATGGACATAAATGCGGACGCTCCTTCGAATTGCAAGGCGAAAATTCTGATGTTGGGTGATTTCGATCCAGAAGGCGATACCATCATTCGTGACCCTTACTATGTAAGAAATCGAGGGATTCGGGTTTGATTTTATTTTTTTAACTTTTAGGATTCTGGATCGGAGGGTTTCGAAAAGTGTTTTGTTCAATGTTTAAGATGTTGCAATGCGTTCCTTGATAAACACTAATTGTTATGTAATATTTTTCATTAAACTTGCCTGACAAATACTCTAATGGCCTTCGATTGAACTTGGAAATCGAGAAAACGAGGTGTATACAGGGTCAAATATAGGTTAGTTTAGTTTATTTTTAAGTGCAAACTGTTCTAAATCGTCCCAGAATTTTATGTTTTTCCTGTAATTTTGTTTAAATAGTTGCCATAATCCTTCCATAGTGTACGTACCTACAGTTTTCCCACTTTTATGTAGTTTTAAACTACTTATTCCCATTCAGATTTTGTAATAGTCTTTTCATAATTTGTACCTGTTCCGATGGAATAAATTTGATATTAGTACATAATATGGTCAATAAAATTAACGGTTCAAATGGAAGTATGCCGCACCCGAATTGACCTGGTGGGCAAGGAAGTTAGTAGCATATTCGGATGTGGCGCCGTCTGGTGGCGAATTTAACATAAGATGGGGTGAAACAAGTTCATCAACCGTTTATTACTGTATTAATATTTACAAGCTTACTCCAAATAAAACAACAATAATTATGACTTCGAAAAACACTTTTCGTTCGTCCAGAGTTTCTTGTTCTGTTGTTGGATGCAGTAATTCGTACAGAAATACGGACTCTTCTGTAAAATTCTATAGTTTTCCCAACAGACCATACGAGTTGCAAAGAAGAGAAAATTGGATAAAGAAAGTGAGAAGAGTGTAAGTACACATCTGTTTTGCTATTATTTTACATAGTTACGTCTCCAGAACGGCCGTTTTTTTGTAATTTTTCTTTTGTGTGCAATAATCCAATTTGAGGTTATGATCACGCTATTAAAAGGGATCCCCGCGTTAAATGACTTGTAAAACGGCCCCTTGCTCCCGCCTTGTTGTGTAGATGGTTTCCTGATATTTTCCACTATTCACCCACCAAAGAGTATATTAAAAATGGTGTTTCTGGAGACAATTCTTGTCAGAAATCGTGTTTGCGAACTAATTTGCACGTTTGATTATTTTTACTGTTTCATATAATATTTACGTAAGTCTCTATTTAGGAACGAAATTTAATATAATTATTAAACAATAATGCAACAAGAAAAGAAGCCTGAATTTTTAAAATTCCTGCATGACATCTGGCTCTAACTACACTGTAATGTAACACGCAACTGACCCAACCATAATTTCTACGAGTAAATCAGATACAAATCAAACGTTGAAAAACTATACTCTAATCTCTTAAACCGTACGGATTGCTACAAACCACTCATTAAGGCCGAATTTTTATTTAACATGAATGGTAAACAATGCGATCAAAGATTTGTTTCACCTCACGAAATGTCAGAGTCGTTGTGTGGAGGCGTTGGAGTGTAATATTCGCTACTCGCCTATAGTCATCGGTGTATTATAACATCACTAAGTATGTGTACATAGCATCATTCAATCCTTAGAGAAGGAAAGAGCGAGTAGTAATAATAATGATCGTAAAGTAAAGCCCACATTTGTTAATTAAAAATTAAACAAACTTTGGCTGCGAAAATATGGCCGCCCCAGGCTTCAACGCACAGCATTGCCCTTGATAGAATATTTGATTTGTTATTGGGACCAGTGGCGTAGGTTATTTACGTTCCTTATTTTATAGATTTACGAAGAATTGAAACGGGAACGCCACTGTTGGTGGAGGCAATTGTCATTCCTCCTTCACACCACCACTTAAATACATTTTTATCGTCCTTGGATTAAATAAACACAAAATGTAAGTGCCCGCTTTGCAATTTGTAGTGTACTCAGGTTCTACGCTAACTTCACACTACAATAACACGAAAATAAAACAAGAATGCCTATTCCCTCCAAAAGCTAACCGGATTTCGCTATCTTGCTTAGACCATACAGTGCCTGTTAATTGCAACTAAAATAAAATACGATCAAGGACATCGCCTGGGTGTATAAGTTTCAAAATAAACGAGTCTGTTCGAAGTTGTCCGATGGCACACGATTTGAGACTGTCAAAGGTAAAATTAACAAACGTCAATTAATTAAAAAAGCAAACCTGCCCTTAGTTATGGACGTATAGGAGATAATGAAGAGTATTTAAAGAATCCCGTACTACGTATGGTTGCTATAGAAGCTGCTCTTTACGCGATCCTAGTGGTGTTTAGACGAATTAGTTTACCCCGAGTTTCACATACCCTACCTACAGTGACTTTATAAAGACAGTGACGGCAAAAGGAGCCGCTATGTTGCATAAAAAATTCAAATTAGAAATAGGCAACATACAATACACCTATGACATGTGTTGCATATACTACAATACAATAATATAATATATCGATGCAACATGGCCGCCGATCTGAACGACTAGTCAAAAGATCGAAACTATTGTCGCCATCGCAATGCAATAAAGTTACTTAAATATACCCAGGACTACAATGCCCCCTATCCGTGACCACCCACGTTCTATGGGAAGCAAAGTATTAATAGAAGTCCTTGTACTCTATGGTCTACAAGATTCCGCTTAAAGTTGAAATTGAAAAGGGGCACGCAAACATCAGGCAGAACCTCCTTACGTTAGTTGCACTATGACCTGAAGTACGGTAGGGCAGGAACACAAAATAAAGAAATAACACCCTATATTAAATGGTATAACTTGCTCTCAAACCCCTAATTTTTCACGTGTTATGCCTTCAAAATTGTACATATACATGTAGATATAAATTACGATTTTATGCATATAAAATGTTCTTTATTAACAATTATCGATCTAACCTATATTTTTTAGGTAACAAACAAGGTAGCTGTACAACAGGTTAAAAGCAACATGGAAATCGTGGAAATTAGTCAATCTCAACTCATATCTCACAAAGATTCTAAACAGAAGAGTTTTTTTGTTAGAAGGATCTGCTCCCGGAGATAGGTAGCGTTGACCCTCGTGCGGGAATTCCAAGCCCATGGTTGATAGTCGAGAGCAATCGCAGCATTTGGTCCATACGCACAGCAAACGATTCAATAACTTCCACAAATTTAAACAAATGATCATAATTTATAAATTTAAATTTGAATCAAAACTTAATCGAGCATTCCCATTTAGATATTTATTTTTTCTTTATCTTTAAATCAAATGCCTATTTCTAATTATCATATCTTCTCATCAAGCCACACACTAAAGAATAAAATATTTAAATTTGTTTTTGGCGAAAACGATTTGCGTGCCTTATAAGGTGTCGTTTAAAGTAGCGTTTGATATTTGTCTCGTAATTACAATTAGCACATTTAAAATCTTTAGATTCAGTATGCGTTAGAAGGTGTTCTCTAAAGTCGGTTTTACGATTTGTCTCGTAATCACAATTGGCACATTTAAACTCTTTAGAAATTTTATGTTTTAAAAGATGTCGTTTCAAATTGCTTTTATCGTTTGTCCAATAATCACAATCAGCACATTTGAAGTATTTAGAGTCGGTGTGTTTTAAAAAGTGTCGTTTATAGTAAATTTTGTTATTTGTTTTGTAATCACAATTGGCACATTTAAAAACTTTGGAATCGGAATGTTTTAAAAGGTGATCTTTAAAATAATATTTGTTACTTGTCTCGTAATCACAATCGGTACATTTAAAATCTTTAGATTCGGTATGATTTAAAAGGTGTTGTTTAAAATAATATTTGTTATTTGTCTCGTAATCACAATGAGCACATTTAAGATCTTTAGAATCGGTATGATTTAAAACGTGTTTTTTAAAATAATGTTTGTTATTTGTCTTGTAATCACAATTAGCACATTTAAGGTCTTTAGAATCGATATGTTTTAAAAGGTGTCGTTTAAGATATTTTTCATTCTTTGTTGCATAATGACAATGAGCACATTTAAAATCTTGAGAGTCAGTATGTTTTAAAAGGTGGTGTTTAAATGAATATTTGTTATTTGTCTCATAATCACAATCAGCACATTTAAAATCTTTGGAATCGGAATGTTTTAAAAGGTGGCCCTTAAGATTTCTTTTAATGTTTGTTCCAAAATCACAATGAGCACATTTAAAACCTTTAAAATCGGTATGATTTAAAAGATGTTGTTTAAAATAATATTTGTTATTTGTCTCGTAGTCACAATGAGCACATTTAAAATCTTTAGAATCAGTATGATTTAAAAGGTGTTTTTTAAAATAATATTTGTCATTCGTCTTGTAATCACAATTAGCACATTTAAAGTCTTTAGAATCAATGTGTTTTAAAAGGTGTCTTTTAAGATATTGTTCATTATTTGTTGCATAATCACAATGAGCACATTTAAAATCTTGAGAATCAGTATGTTTTAAAAGGTGGTGTTTAAAACAATATTTGTTATTTGTTTCGTAATCACAATTAGTACATTTAAGATCTTTAGAATCAGTATGTTTTAAAAGGTGTCGTTTCAAGTTGCATTTGTCTTTTGTCTCATAATCACAATCGGCACATTTAAAATATTTAGAGTCTGTATGTTTTAATTGGTGTCGTTTAAAGTAGTTTCTGTTATTTGTCTTGTAATCACAATCGCCACATTTAAAATCTTTAGAATCAGTATGTTTTAAAAGGTGTCCCTTAAGATTTCGTTTAATATTTGTTCCATAATCACAATGAACACATTTAAAATCTTTAGAATCTGTATGTTTTAAAAGGTGTCGTTTGAAATAGCTTTTGTTATTGGTCTTGTAATCACAAGTAGCACATTTCAACTCCTTATGTTTCAAAAGGTGTCTGCTAAAGAAGGATTTACTGTCGGTCTTGTAATCACAATCAGCACATTGAAGCAGATTACCTTGGTGTTTTAAGAAGTGTCCATAATCACAATGAGCACCTTTTGAAACATTACTCTTTAAAACATATTGTTTAACTTGCAACTTACTATCGTTAGATATTTCAGTTTTAATATTCCATCCACAATCAGTTTGTTGTAGTTCTTCATTATCAAGCGATTTAGAGCACTGTGCAGTAATGGTAATTTCGTCCTTTATTGTGATGAATGTTTCGTTGCTTACTAAAATGTTATCTTGAAGATGGGAATAGATTTCTTCTTCTTGCTTCGGTTCGATTTTAACGAATGATTTGTCATTATTTCCGTCCATATCTGGCATCAATAAGGTTATCAAGAAATGTGTTTACTTTTACGTTTTTGTTTAACAAAAATAAAGTGTGGTATTAATCAATAAAAAATGTTCACGGGAGTATTTATAACTGTGGCTCTCGCCCTATCGGTGCGACGTAGACAAAGCACTGGATGTGGCTCAAGTACCGCAATAGTTAAATATAGAGTTCATAACGTCCTCACTTTCGGTGGCGGCACGATGGGTATTATTTTATACTGTATTCCCCATTTAGATTAGAGCAGTACCGGTACAATGATCTTAGCCCCTGTACTGATCTTAACCCAACCCCAGGCTCGAAGTGAAGATGACAGATTTCACGGCAAGGTGGCAACGTTGCAGTCCCAGTATCAAAACACGGTTCCCGCTCAAATTTCAAACAAAAGAATGGCACGTGATTAGATCGTCTAAGGTAGGGCACCCTTACGTTACACGAAGCTAATAAAATGACTCGGGACCCAGTCGGGCAGGAACACTCAAATAAAACACTGCAATGTCTGCGAGTTTATTTATTATAAACTTATTCTGAAAAACCCGGAATTTGGATGTGGTACATTAAAAGCAAAGCAAGCAAAACCTAAAGGTGCCGCACTCTCGCAAAAGCAGACTACCAAGGCGAAAAAGAGCGCGACTTGAGAAAAACCTTGGCCTTGAATCCCAAACTATCACAAGCAAATTAAAACACCAACCACCTAAGCAGAACATGTAACACTACCTTAATTAATTAATTAATTCAAGTAACAGGGTACGTTTGAACAGTATACGTAGAGTATCACAATATGTCATGTACTTTCCTTTAATCGCGGCTAGAAGGTAACTCACTTTTTAGTTAGTCATTGGATGGTGAACCTGGTTATTTGTTAGGTTAGGGCCAGCGTCTTAGCTTGATTGCGCTCCTGTTTCACGGTTATATTGTTAGGAATTGGACCGACATATTTGCCTATTAACCCGTAGCGTAGTTAAGCTTGTTAGGGGCAACACATTCATCGCATTTATTGGTATAAGTCACCTTACTAGTTATTCATATCATTATATACCGAATAGAGTGGTGTGACGTTTGTAAAAACACGTCTGATCTATTATTCATGTTGTGACCTAACAATAGGCAGTTATGACCATACTCAGTGTGCTCGTGGGGCCCTCGATTATGCTCAGTTTCCACATAATGATATTGGTATAAAACCCAGACTTCCGGAACTACTACCTGTGCTTCGTAACACTCCCTGGACATCTGTCTCGTAACGACACAAAACTGAAGGTGGTTAAGAGATGGGTCGCCGCCCATGGGCAGGATGGCCTTTGTTACATCACTTCATCCCTAAAGTTGGAGGTTCGAGGGCCCTTTTATGCCTTAGCTCTAGAACACCTTTCTATTCTAGCGTCCGAGCTCCCTCTCACGGTGGGAAGATATGTTACATACAACAAGGCACACACATTCGCGAATGTTACGAGTCACCCTAAACTAAATACTGAGATGCCCCAACCTTAGCAATGTCCTGTGAATATGATTGTCGATACGAAGCACCCTATACATCATGTTAGTTAAGCTGAATTTATAGTTCCGTACCCGCAACGCCGTCCCGTAACGTTTGGAAATAAACCCTACTTGTTGCGCGTGAACATTTATAATTCGCGTTAACGTTGCGTTAGAACGGTTACGGTACGTAGGAAATGCCCAAATCTTATTTCTTACGGTCAATCGTTTAGACGCTACGATAAATTGTAACAATTTGTCGTTACGATCGAATCGTTACGATTTATCGTTGCGTGTGAACAGAGGATTGTAGCGATTTATTGGAATTGGAAATGGATTGGATGGTTGATGGCGGCCGGCTTCAATTTCTGCGAATCGTAGCGATAAATTGGAACGTGTAAACAATAACAGAGATTTATCGCTACGATTTGTGACTAATGTTGCCGACGTGAACCATTTTTGTATCCATTTGGGCTACTTGGACTGTCTCTAGCGCACACGTGTTACATTTTTTTTCAACTTTATTGCTAATTTACAATCTACTCGAAATAATACAGAGTAATTAGTAAATCGTATACAGCGTGTAGGATATAACTTGAGCCAGGCACCGCCCATCGACGGTTCTCTAGAATTTATAAGGTTAGATCTTCAGGCCATAGCCGGTGTAGTCTTCTGTTGTTCAGCGGTTGGGTGATTAGTACACTTATAAGTTGGTTGTTGTGAGCGGTGTTGCGGTCTTTGTATTTGATTGCATTTGATTTAACTACATCGTTTACATAGGGCATGTCTAGGTCAGTATGTAAGGTTAAGTTTGATATGTACCATGGAGCATGAACAATTCTCCGGAGAGTTTTCGACTGGAACGTTTGAAGGATCTTGGTGTTAGATGGTTTACTGCAGCCCCACAGCTCAACTTCGTAAGTCCACATAGGCTTGAGTATGGTTTTGTAAAGAAGCAATTTGTTTTCAAGAGATAACTGCGAGGATAAGTGCGAATTTCTATTAAGGAGCCAGTTCATATTTTTAAGTTTTAAGTCTAGCTGTCGTTTCTTTGCTTTAATGTGTGATTTCCATGTAAGTTTTGAGTCTAGGTGCAGGCCTAGGTATTTTATTTCTTCATGGATAGGAATGGGGTCGTTATTAATTGTTAGTTGAGGACAGATTACTCTTTTTGTTGTGAACGTAATTTGTACCGATTTGTTTGCATTAATGTTTATTTTCCACTTTTTTGCCAGTGTTGGATGAGAGTAAGGTAAGATGCTCCTGAAGTTTGGCTGATGCACTAATGGGGTTTGAGTCCGCGCACATAAGAGCGGTGTCGTCGGCAAATGTAGCCATAAACGTATCGTTTGCCTGCGGAATATCTGCAGTGAACAGAAGGTATTAAAACGGACCAAGAACGCTACCTTGCGGAACTCCTGCTCTGATCGGGCGATAGCTTCACCGTATTTAAGTTGGAAAAATCGGTCTTCAAGGTAGGATTTCAGTAATAGA